GCACATTCATCACTTTTGGATGGGTTTTGTGGTTTGTGTTGAATCCTAAAGCTTTACTGATTCCAGGTATGTATTTAAGCACAGTAAATAATCCATAGGATCAAACAGTTGCTCTAAAATCACTCAATATTCACCTCCTCCCCATTCTCCCATCCTCTCTCTCAATGGGTACTTTTATTTCCTAAAAACACTGCTGAAACCAAAAATAAAGTGGAATTTGAATTTTTAACAATATTGATAGAACACTCTACAGGAGCATTCCTCAAAGTGTGCAGTGCAGCCCATGAGGATTTTAAAAGGTTTTGGATGAAAATGAGCAAATAACAAATTAATAATTAATTTAAATGGGAAAAATGAAAAAGAAAATAAAGATGGATAATGTATAGAAAATTCAGAGTTAAGGAATGCTTAAAATGTTTGTTTTTTTTTTTAACAGCCATATTTCTCAAAGTCTTAAATATGACCTGAAAATCTTCATGGGAGAAGATTAAAAAGGATTCCCCAAAAGAGAATGGGTTCACAGAATTATATTTTTTAGTGATTTGTTTGTTTCTTTTTACTTTTTCCATCATCTAATCTGTCCAAGCTTAGTTATAATGCTCTTGGAGAAACACCATGCTAACAAGAACAGAAAATCAAACACCGCATGTTCTCACTCATAGGCAGATGTTGAACAATGAGAACACATGGACACAGGGAGGGGAGCATCGCACACCGGGGTCTGTGGGTGGGGGGAACTAGGGGAGGGACAGTGTGGGGTGGGGAGTTGGGTAGGGATAACATGGGGAGAAATGCCAGATATAGGTGATGGAGCAGAAGGCAGCAAACCACATTGCCATGTATGTACCTATGCAACAATCTTGCATGTTCTTCACATGTACCGCAAAACATAAAATGCAATAAAATATATATTTAAAAAAAAAAGTTTACTACAGTATGACCCAAACATATTTTACTTCAAATCTACCTACTCAGCTCAAGTGCTCCAACAACACCTTTAAACTCTACCCCCCTCCCGCATTTAAGAACTGAACGGAATTCAGGACACATTCCCAGGCGCCTAAGTTATCATAAACTCTTTGGAGTAAGAAACACTTAAACATCTCAGACCCAAATCTAGAAGCTCTGTACGTGGCTGATATGCTTCAGGTTTGTTTTTCAAATATCACTCAGGCCACATCTCTTTCCTGCTAATGGCCTGTTCACCCCCTTCCCACAGGGATCACAATACGAAGTCTCAGCTCCACAGTGAGGACCCCCACTCAGCCAGGCTCTAATGACCTCCTGTCCCTTATGTTTCAAGAACATGGAACCCCATAGCTGTGTGCGTCCTGCTTCCTCAGCCTGGAATATGATTTTGACTCTTACCTGACCATAAAGACTCTATGCTCAATCAGTACTCCCAGAATTCTCTCTTCCTCAAAATATCAGGGAACTGCTGTCATGGGGTTTCATTGCCTTTTTGCCAGATCCATAAACCTGGTAAAAAGGTGGATTTTTTTACCTTTTATTGTCACATTAATCAAATTAGTGGTTATTTTGGATCATTATTTCCCATTTCATATGAAAGAAAGTGTTCCTCTCAACATGAAAAACAACCTATTTTACCCTATAATTTTATGTTAATGTTAAATAAAGCATATTGGTGGTTTTAAAATCATCTAGAATATTGCAGGTTGAGGTAATCTGAGGTTTTTAAAAAGTGTTTCATTTTTCATATTCATATTTCAACCATATATTTATTGTTATCAATAGATAAATTGAGCAGCATTCTTGGTTACATAATTTACCAATAGATCTCCTATTTCCTGTTCCTTCTCTGAACACACTCCTCATCACCAGAATGAAGACAACATCAGGTGATTCCTGGAACCAGGGTGATCTCTCGAGGCTGCTGCAGACCCCACAAATGCCCTTCCATCAGGAGGTTCTACTACAAGGCATATCTCACATTTATGGTAAAACCACATGTAAATATGAAATGCATTTCTTTGGTAAAATTATTGTTTTGCCTCTGAAATTATCTGGTTTTAAATACTCTTTATCATTTTCAGTAAGCCACAATTCATTGGTATTCACTGTAAGCATTTGAAAATTCTTGGAAAGTTAGAACGTCCCACCATGGATTGTTTTCAAATGTCGTGAAAATTTCATGGGTTCTAAACTTAGCAGTGATGAAGTTGGCACAATATTAAGTCTTGTAGGCATTTAAACATATCTGTAGTCATTTTAGGTTTGGGAGTTTCCCCTCTGCATTTGAGAGTCTGGATATGGGGTTGGAACTGCCTTAGGGCTCACAGAGATCTCCAAACATCAGACTTCGATTTCAGATCACTTAAGGAAAGGCAGAAGTTTAGAGGCGCCTTGAGAAGAAGAGAGAGGTTAGAACCAAAGACCTCTTTAATTTATAGATCCTCCAGGTGTAGCAGCTTCAGACTTGCAGCAGTTATTTAATCATGCTTCCTAGATGAGCTCTAAGGGCTAACATTTCCTAATTAAATAGGAAGGCACCCTCCCAACCCAAGGAAAGATCTGACTCATACAGAGTGACAATGATGAACAATAATATGCTCCCTGAATTGGCTCTTGGTTAACATCTCTTTCCTGATTTTTCCCTCTTCATCTCTGATCACCTTCTCAATGCACACAGAAAGGGACACTAGTCATCCAGTTAACAGACATCATAATGTATAAAAATACAAATATACGTTCTTTTTTTTTCTCACTCTGTCCCCCAGGCTGGAGTGCAATGGCGTGATCTTGGCTCACTGCAACCTCCGCCTACTGGGTTCAAATGATTCTCCTGCCTCAGCCTCCTGAGTAGCTGGGACTACAGGCACGCACCACCACACCTGGCTAATTTTTGTGTTTTTAGTACAGACGAGGTTTGACTAAACATGTTGGACAGGCTGGTCTCAAACACCTGACTGCCTCAGCCTCCCAAAGTGCTGGCATTACAGGTGTAAGCCACCATTACCAGCCCAAATATACTTTCTTATTCCTAAAGAAAAGGGCACTGGAAAGCTCCTAGGTCATAGAAGATCTTTGAGATTTTGTGAAATAAAGTAAGAAACATTGAAATTGGAAATACAAGCTCCCTCTGCTTTGTATAAAAAAAATACTATTAATATTAAGTAATGTCAATGTCAGTATTATCATTAATCTTGCAGGTTTAAAACAAGAATACCTGTATATATAATGTACAAGTTCCTGTTAACAATTTTTAGGACAAGTATCATTTAAATATTTAGAATACTAAAGAATCCATTTTCAACAGCATTGATCCATAGTAATCGGTAGCACCAAGCAAGATTCTCCATTATGTGCAACTCAAGCCAAGTTTGAGTTCAATCCACCATGAAAACTCACCTGTTGATCAACCTTGCCCCAAGGTGGCATCAGATGTCTTGATGATGGTGCCTTCCTGAGTTCTGTTTTACATCTTTGTTTAAAGGAGTGTCAAGGTATGAAAGAAATGGTTGTAGCGCAGCCATTTTCTGTTCATAAAGTAATTGCCCCTTGCATGAAGGGAAGGAATTTCTGTAAACAATTCTTTATGTCTAGAGTAGTGCTGCCCATGCTGTTGGCTTAGAAACTGCCACAGACCCATGCAGCTATCACAGGGAGCATGGAGGTTGGCTTAAGATTCCCACGTTTGCCTGAGGAAATTTGACACTGTCATGGGCAGGTATTTACTTTTTCTTCTTTTCTTCTTTTTGTTGGCTTGTTTTCCTGCCTTGAATGTCAACTATGTGTAGCATGAAGATCAGTTATGAATTCACCAATTAGCATTGTGTTTACATGTATTTACATCTATTAAGAACTGTGCTTTCTGGCAGAAAGTAATATTCCTCTGCTTTAATTAAAGCTATGCATGTTTTCAGTAAAGAATAATGTTTTTATTTCTTTTTTTTTAAATATTTTATTGTACTTTAGGTTCTGGGGTACCAGTGAAGAACATGCAGGGTTGTTGCATAGGTACATACATGGCAATGTAATTTGTTGCCTCCATCCCTATCACCTATATCTGGCATTTATCCCCATGTTATCCCTTCCTAACTCCTTACCCCCTGCTGGCTCTCCCCTAGTACCCTCCTCCCACTAATGTTTCTATTTCTTTACATATACCTTGATTTTATAGGACTTATATTTTACCAGGAGGACCCAATTTAAAGCAAAAGTTGAATGTTCTGTAACCTATAATCAACCCACACACAGTCTATTAAAATAGCAAAATATCATTTCTTGGATATTTGCTTTTCTAAAGCTGAATTCTAAGATATTTTAGTTAGCAATTGCAGACTTTAGTTCAGACAACACAGCCATTAAAGCCAATTGTCTGCAGAGGGTGGGGATATGGCATGTTGAGCATCCTTTGCCTGGTTAAGATTTGCAGAGCAGTAGATACTCAACGCATTGAAATATTTCAGTTGTTATGGAGTTAAATGGAAGACATCCCAAGACGATGAACATGAACTGGAATTTTTGGTGCCTGAATGAGCTTTCCTGCCACACAGACTTCATATATAGTTTCCTGCCACTTCAGACTTTTCCCTACAGGCAGAGACATATCTGAAGAAAGATTTCTCTCTCATGAAAACTCCACTTTGTCAGCTTTAAAGGAAAATGGAATTTTCTTGCCCTTTTCCAAGAATTGAGCTTGCATGTCTTAGTTATAGACATTCATGGGCCACCACCATCCTCTTTCTGGAAGCTCCCTTCCTAAGATAGAAAAGGGCCCAACATGATGCTTTTCCAAAATGTTTTCCTTGGGGCCCAAGAGCCAGCCTATTTCTCTGGGGATCTTGCCCTCATGCTTAACTAAGCCATTGTTTTCCTCTTATTCTCAAGATCTCAGCCCATAACTGTCATCAAGAACCTGAAGACACAGCTTCCTCTATGCTAGACTTAAGGACATCCAAACATCTGCCTCTGAATACCTATTTGAAGAAAAGATTATTTCCTGGAGCCTACCAATTAATTGTTTTACTATAACAAGGAATCATCCAACATGTTTTATTTCTTCTTTTTCAAAATGTTTAGAAGTGCCTTTACAGAGACATTAAATATACGGTGGAACATACACAACAGATCATACTGAAACCATAGGTAATATCATGAGATAGATACATTATACAAAAAGGTATATAGAAGCACAATGTCATAACAGCATGCTCTGTTTATAATAGCTGGCGTTGACCAGGGAACAAGAATCCGATTCAGAAATGTGGAAAGTAAGGGATAACACCTTTTCAAATGCCAGACAAAATTTGTCCCCACTGTTTGCTGCCTTGCGATCACCCCAAAGTGCACTACTGGCTGGGCTGTGTAGGTTTGGCCACTCATTGTGTTCTGCAGCTGAGATCACGTCCACCTGCCTGAGAAGAGTATAAGGCTGGGAACTGATACATAAGACACAAATTTCAATTTTGAGACAACAGCATGCGCTGTAGACACACATTATACATAAGCAGTATTGTAAAAGTCATTTGCCATGAGAAGACACACACTACCTCCCTCCAAGAGCACGGGTCTGCTGCATGATACGCACTACGTGGATGTGACTCTCTTTCAGTGTTTCTCAGCCACTTATTTTTCCCTTGGTCTGATCATTTCCATATTACTTAATTCTCCACTCTCAGCCTTTCATAGTTGTGATGTTTGCTTAGGCCCACGATAATGTGTGGGGAGTACCTAGAACACCACTGCAATGGAGGTTGGACAATTGGTTTTGTTCTTGGAATCCACATTAAATGGGTGCCCTTTCTAGAAATCCAAAATAAGGCTCCCAGTTGAAGGATAACTACAGAAAGTCACATGGAGATCAAGTCCCTCCATGGGCCAGTCCATCTTTGGGCATGTGAACTGGTGGCTCTGGGATAATCCACTGCACTGCAGCAACTGAGACGGCAATAGGTCCGATGTACATTTCCAGGTGTGCCCGATGGAAACTGTCGCCAACCAGATTAATGAAATGAGATGGCTGAATGTGCTTGTCAATGCCAGATGTGTGCTCCTTCTCAGCCTGTAATATTCATGGAAATGGAAAATGCTTGTACTATGTGGGAATATGCACGGAGAAAACAGAGATCCTAAAGCGGTTATGATGGAGGAAAAAGGCACGCCCTTTGAGGAAGCATCTCTAAGTGAAATAACTATATCATATGGTCAGTGTCGACACTGGCATTCTGTTATTTCATTCAGAAAGTCAAATTCTTACAAAGGAGGTAACGATAACGTGGCAGATTATTTCAGCTCCAGCCTTAAAATGGAAAATAGAAAGCTTTACTTGCTTTTTTGGCCAGAGGAAGTAAAGAAAGGTATATCAGGTCAAAAGTTATTTAAGTCATCCCAAAGAAGTAATATTTCCAAATAGGGTTGAAAAAAATCAGCATCACATAGACCCCAAATCCCAAAGCAGCATTCATCTCTCTGTTTGTAAGTGCTTTACTCCAATGGGCAATGTAGATGTATAGAGAGGTCTTCTATCCTCTCAGTTCCTGCAGCATCTAAAGAAACTCCCATGAGACTCTTGTCTTTAACATAAAATTGCAATGTTTCATTTGAACAACTGACCAAGAGCAGCAATTAAATCCAAAGAAATTTTAAAGGCATCTCATAGAATATGAAGATTGTCCAATACTGCAAGTTGATAACATTATTGCTTTCTTGGACTGGGAAGATAATTTCCCAGTTATTTCTTATCTGGAAAATGATGGTGTCCAATCTGTCTTGAGTCATAGAATAGTCTATAAACCCAGACTAAAATGTTTCTGCATTTTTGTATTTTTTAAAATTTCTGAAAGCAAACAACAACAAAAAAAAAACTCCAGAACTTATCTCAATTATATAAAACCATAAAGAAACTAACAGGCATTAAGGATTTCAATATCAAAAAATTTCAAATGTTGCATTTGCATTTTACCCTCACACACAAAACCTAAATATAAAGCATTCATTCTTTTATGAATCTCATTTCAAACTTGCTTTTATCCTTTTTTTGAAACATATTTTACTAAACTGTATATATACACACATGCTGAGATCTGGGGAGAACCAGTTAAGTTCTTTTGGTTTTTTGTTTTGTTTTGTTTCTGTTTGAGACAGTCTTGCTCTTGTTGCCCAGGCTGGAGTGCAGTGGCGTGATCTCAGCTCACTACAACCTCCACCTCCCAGGTTCAAGTGATTCTCCTACCTCAGCCTCCAGAGTAGCTGGGATTACAGGCATGCACCACCATGCCTGGCCAATTTTTGTATTTTTAGTAGACACAGGGTTTCACCATGTTGGCCAGGCTGGTCTCAAATTCCTGACCTCAGGTGATCCGCCTGCCTTGGCCTCCCAAAGTGCTGGACTGGTTGAGTTCTGTATCAATGCTCCCATGTTCCCAGGGAAAAGACAAGGAGGAAGCTGTTAGTGGAAAACAGTTACCCAAAGTGCTGAGAAGTGATTCTCGTAGGGCTGGGGTGCATAACCTGGGAGCATATTTGGCTTTTTTTCTGCCAATAGTTTAGAGGTGGGAAATCCTGCCTCAGTTTGACATAGCCAACTCCTGTGTTTACACCCAGTTACTTGAATGATTTCTGAAGGGCCTGGAGAGAGATAGGCTTGGCATTGGGCATCTATTATGACATGTCAAATTATTGCCAAAGAGGCATCCCTACTCATCCTGAAAGAAGGAGTGGCATTTGCCAGCATGCCAAAACTGACTCTGCAGTTTTAAGAAATACACACACACCAACAGAGAGCCTCTAGCCCCTCTAGGGACTTGGCAAATGCACGGCCCCTCTTTCACCTGAAACATCTACATCAACCTCCCAAACAGAATCCCCACCTGTCTTGTGGTTTTCTGATGTCTCTAGAGCTCTGCCTGTTTCGGGAACCTCAGCACCCTGCCCCAAACACATATACAAAACCAAGCCATTGACAAGCAAACACCAAAGCAAATGGACAGAGGTCAAAGGCTCTCAAACACCACAGCGTCGTGCATTTCGGCATTGACTTTCAACATAATTTGACCCTGGACGGGGCCGTGAGAACAGGAGCCCCTTTTCTGAGTCATCGGGAGAGAAGCTTTCCAAGGCCTACTAGGAGAACGAATAAGAAATGTTTTACAAGTAACATGCTGGCAACTTTTAAGAAATGTTTTCTTTTGATGTCCATTTATTACTGCATCAAGGGTATTAAAATCCCTGGCTGAAAAGAAAAATATATCTATAGTATAGCCAACCACACAGCTGCTTTAGGGAATATGCAGATAAAATAACAAAACAACTGAAGAATGTTTAAATGTTTATTTTCATGTTAAAAACGATGTGTTACCCTGTGGTTAGAATATACCTTTATGCTGAAAAATGAAGTCACTTTATTTCTGAAATATTTCCAGAAAAAAAGAAAAGGAAAAATCCAAAAGTAATGAAGAGTAAGATGAAAATGTTCTGGCAGATTCCATCAACAATCCCAACATAAGCCATGTCCTTTCCAGGCCAGAATTCCAAATTCAGTGCATTTCATGATGTTAGGTCTCAAATGTTTTTCCCATGATAAGTTTAGATATTTTTGAGTGGGATGTCTGTACATTTAAAAGCTACAATTTTGCATGCTTTCATTTTAAAAACTCAGTGTTTCATTATATTGCCTATATTACATACAAAAATATCTGCTATCCATATTTTAGCATAACTTTTCCACCATCCATACCGTCCCTTTACATGGCAGGTGATATGCATTACATTACACGCATATAATTTTAATACAGGGGAGGGTTGTTGAGTTTATAAACCATCTATCATGTCATTTACAGAGAATGAAATGGAGAATCGAGATCACTTTTAGGCAATTAGAGTAGAAAACACATTGGTGTCCATGACATGTAGGGTTCAGATGAAACCACACTCTGTGGTGCTTGCTGTGAGACTGAATAGTTCCCTGAAAGAGCCTTCATAGTTCTCTGACAGGGCCCCAACATCCCAGCAATGGGAAAACCTCTTTCTAAAAGAATGAAACAAGAATGCGGACCCAAATGCACAAAGGTGGATGTTCTAAAACTTTAAAGTTAACAAGTTACAAATTACGTAGTCTACAGATGTGGCAATGGGACAAAAATTAGTCAACTTTCCCCCTGCATGACTATTTATAAATAAAAACTTCTGTCTAGATAGTAAGGATTATTATTGTCTGAGAATTTATCCTGGCCAGCGTGCAATATGCAACAGCTAGGAAGTCAATTATTCCTTCTTGTGGGACACGTGGAGTATGCTGAGGTTTCCCAGGTGTTGCTTTTCCAGGGTAAACTTCTAGTGTCTTTTCTTCTTGCCTTCTCTGAAATGCAACACACCTGTGGATTTAAGCATCAGTTCTTTGGTGTGGCAGCTGCTTCTTGATTCCTGTGCTCTGACCTCTACTGCAGCACGTCTGGACCCTGGAGCCAGCGACTGCAATCCTCAGTTGTTCCAGGTCGAATGCTGGTCATCTAGCATCTGAACCTCCCTTCGTGTGACCACAGAGTTCACTGTCTGATGCCTTTTCAAGAGGCTTGCTGGCGTCTCCCTTAGGGGGAGTCTGAGCATTCCATCCCCATGGGAGAGGAAGGGACTTCATAAATGTTTGGTTCCAGTTATTTATCAAGACTAATAATTTGGATATATCAGCCATAAAAATCCTGGAAAATCCAGGCAAATGCATGGTCTCCAGAAAATTATATTTCATGGCTTAATAGTTTATATCTTTACCCCCATTTTAGATATTTTGGGGTATAGTGCCTAACAGCTGTATATTAACTAGCTGGAAAACAAGGTGCTATAACCCATGGTTTATAATCTTCAGGAAATATTTAGAGGAGGAAATAATGAAATTCTGTCATGAGAAATTGTATCCATGCCAAATCTGAGAACAACTGACAGTCACTGTTGATTCATACTAAATAGTTTGTTCCCTGGCTCTTCAGTATTCACACACACAAACACACACACACACGCACACACAAGGGCATATGTATGTATATGTGTTTATATACATCTGGGTGTGGGTTATATGGTGGAAGGAACCCTTCCCCCATGGCCTTCCATTTGAGTATTATTTTGAACTGACTGGGTTTTAACACAAAGGAGCAAAGGTGGCTACACAGGGGTTATATCACTCAGGGTGACTCTAAGTCATCACAAGAAGCATCTTCAGGACTGCGGCCAGTTTCCAGCTCTGCTAAGAAACCACTGGCATGTTCGAATGCTCCCCAGTTTGCTCCCTGCACCCCATCAAGCACTGCCATCATAGAGAATGCTCTAATTTGTATGTTCCTTATAACACTCCCCATGACAGTGATGATTTCCTTTACCTCCTCCCCAATTACACCCCCTGCCCAAAGTCTCACTTTACCAGTGGGCGGGACCCTGCTGTGTGTGCGAGGGAGTTCTTCCTCGTCCAGCAGAGGTTCTTCATTTTCACAAATGAATTCCCAGTACTTCTGGAATGCTAAAGATCCAAAGGGAGAGAGGACCGAAAAGCCTCACAGAAGGAGCCAACTCACCGGGATAGCTACCTGTCAATCAGCACATGAACTTTCTTCCACCCTGCATGGTTGGTCTGAGCTACCTCATTACCAAACTCTTTGGAAAGCTTTTGACTGACTGAGGAATCTTCCCAAAAAGTGTCAGCCATCGCTTTGCAAACTCCTTTTGTAGCTAATGCCTGGCTCTCCTCGCTTCATTATCCCATCAAACCAAACTATTTTTAGAACTTTGCCGGCTTCGGTTCCTAAGCCCCATTTTAGAGAACACACTGAACACTGGATTCTGGAGGTCAAGCCTACTTCACTTGCAATTTCAGCACTGTTCACAAACACACTGTGGTCCTGTGGGCCAGATATACAGGAAGAAGTTTTTGACTGCCACGTCATGGCTAGAGGAGGCTGGGTCATCATGTTCCCACCCAAGGAAATCTACAATAAAAGAACAGTGCCTTTCTTTGGATTAGCTCAGTTATCAGCCATCTGGAGTCAGGGCACTGCTTCAGGTGACCTTCTGCCTATCCTTCCTACTTTGGGCCTTTAAAATTGTATTTCTTAGAGATGAAAATGGCTCAGTAAAGCTCATAATGAGGCATACTAGTCCAGTGTCTACTTTTCCAACAATACTATCTTAATAAATATGTCATCATATTTTGCTAATTTGAAATTCTTGCCTTGCTTAAGACCGTTCATGATGGTATTAAAATAACATTTTTCTCTAAACATTATGTAGGAGTTGTTCCTTTTTTCCTCTTGCCATTTTGATTTTTCAATAGCTATGGTTTAAATTTTTTTGTTCTACAACAGCTGCTTCTTGAGTTCTGGAATAGTCATTTATTTGTATGGATTTTGGGGGGAAACCCATTGCTTCTCTCCACAAATGCACACCCTGTGAACGCTTTATCTCTGCCGGAGTCATGATTTAGATTTTTTTTTGTTTGGTCATTGTATGGATGGATTTCTATATATTGCTAACTTGAAATATCATTCTACTTACTTAAAAAAAAAAAAAAAAACTTGTTCTGGTAAAATGGAAAGTGTAATCTGCAGCTATTTCCTAGGCAATTTCCTTTCTATGTAGGTCAATTCTACTTTAAGACTTCAGTTTGGATAATGAATTGTGTTGGCCACAAAGCACTTGTATAAATACAGCTATGTTGGGGCCTTTCTACCCTCAGAAATGCACTCCAGGAGTTCCCCCATGAGTTTTCAACAAGCAGAGAATAAAAATAAATGTTTGTGACTGACAATTTTTCTCCAAATTTTTTAAACTTCACGTAGAAAACTGTAAAGAGATGGCCCTCCCTCACCGTATATTAACATTTTAAGTAAAACCTTTTGTCCCAGTGTTATTCAAGAAAGTTCAGCAACAAAAGGACGGAAAAACAAAGTGATAATAAGCTTCTTAGATACCGTCCCTAGATGATGAAGTGTGGAAAACTGGAAAAAACCTGATATCCTGCATGGAGACCCAGGAAACAACAAGGCATGGCAAATCCCAGGGAAGAAAACTCATGTGTAAATCAAACAGAGCTCACGGAAAAGACTGAAATTTCTTCTCTTCATGTTTCAAAAAGAATTCCAGAGGTCAAAGGAACAGGTGCAGGTGCAAATGTATATAAAAATAATGAGCAGCGCTCATGACAAATCAGGATAGCTACATTCAGTCATCTTTCATGTATGTCTAAACTCAGGCCAAGGGGCAATAAGTGTCCACTGTGCTTTAAAAGGTCTAGGAATAGAAAAATCAACACCAAATCCTTTCTAATTCCACATGGCCTTTTGTCGAGATGACTAACAACGTCTGGGGGGTCAGGTTTAATACATTTGCACTGAGCTAGTACCAAGCAGTCCATAAAACTGTTGTCTTAGGATTTCTCCAGTCCCCACATGTGGCTGTTTTAGAGGCATTTCCAGGCTTCAAACCCAGCTTCTATAGCTCTCCAGACCTCTTTTACCTGCTTAGAAAGGGATCCCACCAGACCTCCACAAATCAAACTTTGTTAAATCATCCCCTATTGCTGATCAAACTCACTGCTCCAGCATTCAAAAAACAGAAGGCATAAAGGTGAATACAAACATAAGAAAGGAGTTTACATCTGGTCTTGCAGTCTTTCCATATAGTCTCTAAAGTCCTGTGAATCCCCCAGTCCCATATCTTGGCAGACCCACTTGATGTTATCATCACTGTCAAACAGGATGGAGTTGGTGTACGGGCCGCCGTCCTCTGGGAGGATGGTGGTGTAGGAAGTGAACTTGACTCTCTTCCTCTTTGGGCCCGAAGAATTCATAGGTTCATTTTTAATGTCTTTCTCATAGACATAGTCAGAAGGTCTGAGCAGTTGACTATGAAAAGTCTTCTGGGAACTGCCATTCAGAAGGAAGTTCCTCTCCTCGAACTGCAGGCCCCTGTCTATCATGGTTGTACACTCCTCCGAGGGGAGTGTAATGTCAACAGGGTTCTCCAAAAGTTCCACTTCATTCCCAAGCCAGACCCAGTCGTGGGAATGGGGGATGTTGCCTTGCTCGCTCACAGCAAACCTTTTGTGTCTGTATTTCCAGGCAAACGCCACGCAGTTGATCAAGAAGACCAGAATGGCCAGGCAGAAGACGCAGAGCAGGGCATACATGCCAATCTCCAAGTCCGTTAGCCCCCGTGAGGTCACTGTGAGGTCACTAGGATTATTGGGGTCCGGTGACTTCCCTTGAGTGGGGAAGCTTGTGAAGGCATCTGGACCACTTTTGAGTGACTTATTCTTCCCTTCCATGGGAGACTGGGGGGTTGTGCTTTTGTTGGTACTTTCCTCTTGGCCAACAGGTGAGCCATGGTGGAACCATTCCTGAACGGCTCTCTCCTGGTTTCCTTCGCGCTCTATGGAATTACTGAGGTGGTCCTTGTATTCCCGATTTATGCCCTCAATATCGTTGCTTCCTCCTTGGTGCTCATCACTACTTGGTTCGAATTTGACCTTGACATTTCCTTTACCCACAGCAAGAACACTCTTCCTCTTGGTCTTCTGACAGGGTTCACTAATCATCATTTCTAACTTAATCAAAGGCCCTTGTCCTTCACCCTCTGCAACCACAACTGGCCATTTGGACTCAAGGTTTGCCTGGACAGACACCACCATTTCATCCAATGATGAGACAGTAACTGAATAATCCTTGGGATCGTAAATGTCTAAAGGTGTCACCGAACCATCACTGAGCAAAATCCAAGAACTTACTATTGCTTCCTAAGGAAAATGAAACCAAAGCATTATGTTATAATCAGATTCCTTCCAATTTGAAGGCAGAAATATAATTTCCTATGTAAATTTTTTTAAATACAAAGAGAAAATTTCTATGGTTTTATAATCTTGAACAGTTCTTGTTACGCCTTGAACTGGCTGAACTGGCATCAATAATGTGCTGTGGCCTCACTGGTGTGAGGAATAAATATTTTAATGAATGCATTAAACTATAAATTAACTTATTGCATACATACAATAGACTTTGACTTTGACCGTTTTAAAAACACTTTGTAAAATTAGGCAATTTAACTGAATCAATTTCAGGTGCAACGAATCAGGCTACTGCTCAAGATAATATCCCTGTGAAAGTTCTCCATTAAGAAGCCAGTGCTGATGAAGCAAAACACCAGCTGGAAGGACTCAGGAAGATGCATTGTGAGGCTGGCTGGCTTCAATGACACAGCAGCCCTGGTATCCTAGAAATGATTTATAGAAGTTTAAAGATGGGAGGAAGTTTTAGAGTTGACCATAATTATTGTAAACAGTAGCAATTTGGTGCCTATTAGCCATGCTTAAGTAGCTGAAATGGAATTTCCAAGTATCAAAAACCACCTGCTTTGGCAAAAGTGAACACAAGTGATCCTTTGGTCACAGTCTAACAGCAGGCTGTGCCTGGCACTGATAAGCCCAGTGGAAAGCATTGGCGTTTGAGGAGGTGGTCGGTGTGGAAAAGCACATAAGGGGAAATGTGTCTAAGCCACTGAATACTGTTCTCAGAGACAGGGCAGCCTGGGTAAGAAGCAAGCAGCTTCAAGAATCTCCAGTCCCAGGCAGGGGGTCTCTCCTGCTCTCCTTCGCAGGATGTGCTAACCGAGAGAGAAGTCGTCTCCACTGACCAGGGACGCAGGCCCCTGGGACACTCACCTGCTGTGGGGACTGAAGAACGTCCAGGGCAGTGGCTGTGGAGACAATGGCCCTCTTGTCTGCTCGATGTGGCTGCAGGGAGAGAGACATGCCAGCCACGAGCTGCACCCCCAGCTCCGCGATGGTGACTCGGTCGTCCAGGACAATCACTGTCTTCTCAGCCAGGATGGAGTCCGAGAGTGGTGAGAGGACCTGAAAAGTAGGCGAGGAGGCTCATGCATCTCTGCTGCTCATAAGCACCGTGGATCCCTTAACTGAGGCTCCCAACAAAGTGTCTCCCAGCCCTCGGCTCAATGCATGCACTTGCGGGAATCAGGAAAGTGTTATGCTGATGTTCAATCACACTTGACAATTATAGGATTTTTATAAAGATCATCCTGGTCTATTTACTTTCTACTGATTTTTATGTCATGATAACAGCAGTGTATCTTCTGCAAGAAGCCTGATTTAATTTAGAGGCAATAACTAAAAAGTGTCCATTGATATTAGGCACTCAAAGAGCAACATTTTCCTAGCCATCTTCCTAGAAAATGGTGCCTAGCCATCTTCTCCCACTCGTATTCCTTCCAGCAGGCAGGTAGATATTTATTATGGGATGATCACTGTGGGCCATGGGGCCATCACTGCATAAACCAGGTAGGAAAGTAGGAAAGGGAGCCTTAGCGCCCTGAGGAGTCATCCTCCTGATTTACCAGCTACTGTCCAACCATAAGTGCCTGGGGCCTGGAGAGGAATACATGGCAGGCAGAATTTCTAGAATGGTCCCCTGAAAGCCACCCTGCCCTAAACTCTGGTTCCTGTGAACAGGATGAGAATGCACTTTCATGATTATGTTGTGCGATATGGCACATTTGGCCTTAAAACAGGGAGGTCACCCTGTGTTACTCAGGTAGATCCAAAGTAATCACATGAGCCCTTAAAAGCAAAGACCTTTTCTCAGCTAGGGGCAGAAGGGGAAGTCAGAGATTCACCGTGTGAGAAGGACTCCATCCAGCCATTGCTGAAGGCAGAAGGGACCACGTGAAGAGGAACGCAGGTGGCCTTGGAGCAGAGTGACCCCTGGCGACCCCTGGCTGACAGTGTGCAAGGAAACAGGGACCTCGGTCAGTGCTCAAACCACAAAAAACTAAGTTCTGCCAATAGCCTTGAAGGAGCTTGGAAGCCACATCTTTCCCAAACTCCCAGATAAGAGCCCAGGCCAGCCGAGACCTGGCGTTCAACGTCCTGGCACCCTAAACACAGAACGCAGCAAACCCACGCAGACGCCTGACCTGCGGAAATATGAGCTGACTGATGGGTGTTTTTTAAGCTGCTAGTTTGTGGTAATTTATTACACAAGAAATAGAAAACACAGAACATAATGTGTTTCAGCCAGCTTTGTCAAAAATATAGCTTTGGCTACAATAAAATCTGACTTAGTTAACTCTGAGCAGAAACATTTTAAATCTGTATAAGGAAATATTCTGTACCATTTCTGCATAATTGTCCTGTTTAAATTGGCCAGGAAATAATTTTACTATCACTATGATAAAGAATATTTAGCTATGAATTATTATATTTTTAAAATTTTTTGTCTACTGTACAAGGTATGATGGAACTAAATGGTTAAGCTTCAAAGTCAGGAGGGAACAAACTAGCTTTCGGCAGTTCAACCACCTTCTATTAGTGATATACAAAACAGAGAGTATGATACTGGGGAAAAAGTTTATACTACATGTTTCATTTAGCCTTCTTGGTAAAAGAGATTAGATATCCTTCTCAACTCTCTAAAATACAAAACTTAATCTAAGTATAGGTTATTAAAATTGGTGAATGTTCTATTGCTTCTCATGATTCTCTTACACACAAACATGCAATACATGCACACTGGCACACATTCATGTGCACGTCCACTCACACACGTGCACATAGACACACTTCTGCACAACTGCATCTACCTGGCCACTCACCAACACAGACTGCTGTTAGGCAAAGTGGCAATGCATGGCAGTACGTACCTGCACCGTGGTTATTCCCGGCTCCCGACCAGCCAGGGTCCTGCCGTCCTGTAACTGGGCGATTTTCGGCTCCTCCACCTTCATGAACTCGGTCACGAGGTCAGTGATGTCAAACTGCCAGTCAGGACCCAGCATGTAGGTCAGCTGCCCTAAGTCAGGCGACTCGGCCACAAACTGGGTGAGGACGCGCACCGTGGCGTGCTGGTACTGCAGGGAGCACCCTCGTCCCTTCTTCTCCTCATCGTCCTCATCTTCACTTTCCCGGGTAGGCCTGGAACACAGGGAATCAAAACAGAATAAAGTCCTCATTGTTAAGAAGTTCTACCTGCCCTTGTTTTTCCGATTCTAGGTGAGCCCACAGAATGAAATGAAATGGTCTTTCTCCTGCCAAACCTGCTCAGCCATCTATCCATCCCCTGTTCATGCACTCATTCTACAAGCACACTTTGGTGGTGATCATGTGCTTCGTGTTTGCAACAGGAATGTCAAGGGCAGCTCCTGCCTTCCTGACCCAGATGGAAGCTGAAGCTCTGGCCTTGGTGTCCTGGAAACTGCTGATTTTAAAACCATTCCCCTGTGGGAATGAGGCAGAGCCTCTGGCCTATGGAGGGAAGCTAAGATATGAGTCAGAAGTGCTATTGGGATTCCTGTTTTGATTCCTTCCATGGGGCCTCATGCCAAGTTCTCTACCCTCTCACAGGTTCAGCTACATCCCCTTGGAAATGAACATAGGAACAGCTGGCCCTTTCCTCCCTCACAGTTGCACATGAGGATCAAGTAGGTCGAAGTGTGATGACACCTCAGGGATGGCCCTTTAGGAACCCCAGACCAACCAGGAATCATCGGCACTGCATGGTTCTAACACCCGACCCCCTCATAGGCTGAGACCCTCTAGTCCATAGAATCAGCTTCCTGAGCTTATGGCCCTAAAGTTTGCCTGAGGATCCTCTCCTTCCACGGTCCTTCCCTAATATAAAATCACTGCTCTGTGAGCAAAACTGCTCATGCCACTGTTAAAACATCTGAAATGTGCCTCTCCTGTTACCTGTCCTGGCTTCTCCCTTCCTTCCTTATGGGTCTGGCCCTTTCTCTCACCCTAGCACCTGCTATCCTCTAACCTCCACCTGTCCACCATCCACCCTGAGAAAGCCTCTCTGGCTCTTCAATTCCAGAACCTTCCCCTCAAGAAGTAGCTGTCCTGTGTCCCTTTATGAGAGCGCTTTGTTTGGTGGCTAGTGGCCAGTCTGTGCCTGGGGATTGTGTCAGGGGAGAAAGGGGAATGACTCATGCATGCTGAGTTAGACCTACTGTGTGCCCTCTTCCTCGTGCTTACATAAGTATAAAAGCAGACATCGATTGCCCATGCAGCACACAACATCTGTGCATATTTAATTCATGGGATCTTCACATACCCCCAAAGAGCAAGGTTGAATTATTTCTCTGCTCTTACCAATAAGGAAACTGAGACGATGGTTTCTGTGGTCACTCAGCCAGGGCCACACAGCTGGTTGTCTCCCGAGGCAAGGTCCACAGCCAGGCCAGCTGCCCCATCATGTGTGTCCCCTTCCTTTCTCTAGCTAAGTGCATCCATCTTCTCAACAGCTATGAAACATGTGCTTATTTTTGCATAAAGAAACCAGGCTCAGTGTGGTTAATATGTAGCCCAGATAACTGCCAATTAGCAGCTCTGGATCCAGTTCCATGTGGCTTCTGAAACCCACTTTCTTTACAATATAACATTCTGCCTCCCTGAAAGGTCTGAGAACCATTTATAAAATGATAGAAAAAAATTTTCACCAGCACAATAGCATAGCAATTTTGGTTTCCCACAGTAAGAAATGAATATCTCTGTGGGTAATGGTGATGAGTTAAGTGACAAAGAAACAGCATTCAATTTTTTTAAAATTGAATAACATACTGAAAAGGCATTCCCACTTTATTTTTCAGTCCTTCTGAATATGTCACAGGGAATGTCTCTGTTCTGTGCTAGGATGTCTTTAAAGCTTCTTGGAACTAGATAGTCCGCTAGTTAATAAAGACAAGCTCACCTAGGCAGGCAGCAGTGTCTACTCAGAATTCAACAACACTGTTTGGTTTTCTTTGTAATAATTTTAGGTTAAATTTATTTTATGATAAATGATACTAGTTGACCATTTGTGCTAGCAATGGGAAGTTTGCTTTTAATGAATGGGTAAAATTTAAGAAGAATACCACTAGGCTTGTGCTTCCTTAAAATGTGGCAGAATTCATAAAAATGAATATATGAAATTTTAGAATTAATTAAACACTAATGTTTAGTTAATTGTGTTCATGTATTAATGAAACAAAACAATCATGTTATTTTAGGGCAGATTGTATCCTATTCACTTATTTAAACTTTTAACTTCAAAATAATTACAAATTTACTAAAAGCTAAAAAAAAAAATTACCAGGAGATACTATACACTCCGCCCAATTCCCCAAAGTCAGCATCTTCCTAACTATAAGAAAATATCAAAACCAGGAAATTGGCAATGGTATACACAGAGCTTATTAACATACAAGCATCCCTTATTACAGTCTAATGATATCAAAGCTTTGCTACTTTGAGTGTAGATACCTTAGTTCCCTCTAGGTCCCATTACCCTGGCCACTTTTAAGAACATAATTGCTTTAAGTATGTTCTTCTGTCTGTCCTAAGTACCACATCAATAACGTTGTAATTCTCACTTTCAATACCAAATATGATGTAAAAAATTGATGAGAAGAAAAGTCTATCCTATTTAACACTGCTTTTGCTCATTCTATCATTCCTCTTTCCTTTCTGAAGTTCCAAATCTTTTTCCATTATAATTTTTTCTGTCTACAGAAGTTCCATTAGCGATGCCTTCTAAGTTTTTGTTTATTTAAGAATGCCTTTATTCTCCCTTCATTCCTAAAGGATATTTTTGTCAGATAAAGAATTTGAAGCTGACAGTTCTTTTCTTTTAGCGCCTGAAAAACCTGCCAAGTCCTTCTGGCCTCCATGTCTTCAGGCAAGGAATTCACTGCCATTCAAAGTGGTATAACTTCCCTCTGGATGTTTTTAAGACTTTGTTTAATTTTCAGAAGTTTAATTACAATGTGTCTTCACATGGATTTCTTTGGGTTTACCATGTTTGTGGTTTCCCAAGTTTTTTGAGTCTATGTGTTTCTGTCTCTTGACAAATTGGAGAGGTTTTCAGCCATTATTTCTGTAAATACTGTCTGAGCCCTACACCTTTTCTCCTCTTCTTCTTGGATTCTAATTATGGAAATTCTAGATCTTTTTTTATGGTCCCACAAGTCTCTGATGCTCTGTTCCTTTTTTTCCCCAAAGCTATTTTCTCTGTTATTTAGATTAAGCTAATCGTATTATCTGTCCTCAAGTTCACTGATTTTAACCTCTGTCATCTCCATTGTACTGCTAACCCTATTGAGGGCTTTTGTTCTCCCTACTTCCTATATTTTTCTATAATTTACATCTGGTTCTTTTTTATAAGTTATGTTTCCTTGCTGAGATATTTTCCTTTTCCAACAGTTCCAGGACTATTTGTAATTTCTTACTGAAAGTTTTTTTTTCCCCCTTTGGTATGGCTGCTTTAAAATCCTTGTCAGATATTCTAACATCTGATTTATGTGGGCATTGGCGTCAGTTGATTGTTTTTTATATTCAAATTGTGGTTTACCTAATTCTTGGTATGACGAGTGATTTTTCAGTTATATTCCGGCCATTTTGTACATTATGACAGGAAACCCTGGGTTTTCAGCTGAAATCTATTTTAGTTAAATTTGCTTTGTTTTAGGGCATAGGTCCTAGCCTACTTTTGTACACTTAGGTTGTAGAGAACATTTGGCTTTAGAGCCCTCAGGTGCTATTCTGGTCTGTTTTTTTCCCCTGGCACTGTGGATTCCCACAGTGAAGCAGGATTCCCACTTGAATCTGGCAGGGTTTGCCCACAGGAGACGAGGGCACCTCCCTGAGCTGGGTGGAGGCTGGGAGACACCAGGCAGGCTGGGCAGTATCACTTCCCTGGGTGGCTCTTCAAGTTTCAGCAAAAGGTTTTAACGATCCATCCTTGACCTTTGGTTTAAAGCACACTTTTCTGACAGTGAATCTCTTAATTTCTTCATCATTTGCTGTCTGGAGACGCTGAAAATCTCAACATCATTAGGTCCCTCTTTCTTTTGTCTGATAGCCCTTCCAAAATGTTCTCTCTTCTCTTGCATTCTGCTATTAGCAGCAAGATGAATCCAAGGTGCACATTCAGTAGTTTGCCTGGACTTCTCAGCTAACTACCTGGCCTCACTTGCTCTCCACACACCTGCAGGGCACAATCTTGCTAAGCACTCTGTCGCCACCTAACCAGAATCCATGTTCCTCACCTCCCCCTGTATCCTCACTGGCAGCGTTTCTGAAGTTCAGATTTCTACTTACCATTTGTCCACAATGATCTCAGCTTTCTGTAAGGTGATTTGGGATTTCCCTGTGATGATCCTCATGCATCATGTACACCGTCTTTAACATTTTTCTATTAACATTGTTCTACTAACAATCTGTTCAAGGCAGTTGAGGCTTTTTCCATTATGCTCCTCAAAATCTTCCAGCCTCCACTCACTGCCTGATTCCAAAGGCACACTCACATTTGAGGTATGCGTTACAGCTACATTCCACCACTGGGCAGCAATCTCTGCATTCATTTTCTATTGCTGTGTAACAAATAACCTCAAACTTCATGGTTTAAAACAATGCCCAGTCCAACACACTCACAGTTCTGCAAGCCAGTAATCCAGGCAAGCTCAACTGAATTCTCTACACAGAGATTTACAAGTTCAAAATTAAGGTGTCACTGGGCTGGTCTCTTATCTGGATGTGCTAGGGGAGAATCCACTTCTAAGATCAGCCAGGTTGTTGACAGAATTCTGTTCCTAAGGTTATAGAACTGAGGCCCTGTTTCCTGGCTGATTGTCATTTGGAGGCTGCTCTCAGCTACTAAAGATTACCCACACTGCTCGGCAAGTGGCTCAATCCACATTTGTCAGCAAGTGACTCAACCCACCTTCAAAGCCCACAATACATCATCAAGTTGTTCTCATCCTCAAATCTTCCCAACTTCCCCTTCTGCTACCAGTTGGCAGGAACTCTCTGCTTTCAGAGGACTTATCTGATGGGTCCCAACTCCTGGCAAATCTCTGTATTTTAAGGTCCATTGATTTGAGATTGTAGTTACATCTGTAAAATCCCCTCCCTTTCCCAGCACTACCAGATTAGTGTTTGAAGAAGCAGGAGATGGGAATGATGGGGAGGAAGAGTCATCTTTAGAACGATCTACTATAGTATGTGTCCATTCACTGAGCTCTTGGGACAACGCTTCAGTGATGTTATCATCCCTAACTGATAGATGAGGAAACTGACAAATAGGTTAAATCACATGTCCAACATCACACAGGTACAAGTTGTAAAGCTGGGGTTGAAACTCGGCAGTAAAATGAAGACTTACCCAGGTGGTTGGCGGGGGAATAAAAAACGCAGGCAGCCTTGTCCCACAGCCCACACTCTTAACCACTTGTACTGTGTTCCGTGGATGAAGGCAGACATTTACAAGCAGGGGAACTGAGACTGAATAACGTAGGAATGAACAATAATGAAATGGGGAGTGGAAAACAGCTATGTCCTAATTGCCACGTCTTGTGCTAGGTGCTTGTTATGCATTGCACTCATTTTACTGAATCAACTATTCTATTGGGTTGTTACTATTATTATTATTACTATTTTCATTATAAATTCCTCATGTCAAGTTGCTAGTAAGTACTCAAGTCAGATCCATCTGAACCCAAAGCCCAGACCATGCTTCCCACCAGGAACGTTGCTCCCCACGGGCTTGAGTGCCTGAGGGCCAATTTGCTTCCCACAGAGATCTGGGCCCCAGGACAATCGGATCCACAGTCTTCTCTTTGATTCCTCACCTTCTATTGGCAGCAACCGGGATCCTCCAGCCCTTGATCTGGCTCAGCTCTGTGTCTGAGATCTCAATCTGCAGGGGAAGTCTGGGTGCCCAGACAGTGACCTCAAACTGGGAGGTGAAGTGCTGGTGGGTGAAGTTCACAATCGTGTCCACTTTGCTCTTCATTTCCTTCCCATTCACAAAAATGGAATCGCAGTTGTTGGAAACCTTTGGGGAGGAGGTAGAACCTTGAGATGCATCAGGAGGAAAAGCACAAGCAAAAACCAACAACAGGGAAAGTTCATGAACTTCAGCAGCTCTGATTTATTAGACACCAAAACAACCTGATGAACAGGACTTATATAAAAGGTAATTTGTAGGCACTAATTACTGACAAATACTGACAAATAGACCCCAGGAAAACTATTTTGTATTACAAAATACTGACAAGTAAAACCATTAACATAATTTAAGGGAGTTATATAACCTCTGTTGCCTTTTGTGTGTATGTGTGAGTGTTTTTCTTTACCTTACCTTTTTTATGTACTCAAATGATCACTAATCAAACCCCAGGTGCCTCATAGTTCACTCTTGCACCATATCTGAAGATGCATAAAAGGTTTTTATGTTACTAAAAATCCACATTATTCAAGTCATACTGAGGATCTCTGAAAAATCAGGAGAGCTTTGCACTAGATTAAAATCTCGGTAGGCGAAATAGTTGTGAAATGCATTAGAAACATGGATATAATTATTTTTGCCCCATTCAGCTATAATTTTGCAGAATGAATGTGGCATTTCGCCATGGTCTTTGAGTCAGCACTTGGGGGTGCCCTCTCTAATGAGTGTGCTTTAGTAGGTTGAGTATTAGACAATTTAAGTCCCCATTTTATTTCAGGATAAGCAAATAAATTGTTGCTGAGTTTCTCTCCTGGACAATCAGAAAAATGTATCTATGTATCTAGGTGGAGAGAAGAAATAGAGATCGCAAATCATTTCATGAGCAGAGGACACAAAATAAAAAGCAGTGTGCAGCCTTTGCATTCATACTGCTGAGGGGCAGAGTCAAGCCTGGGCTGCTGGCAGGGCCCCCACCTCAACCAGTGGAGCCACCAGAGCCCCATTTTGCAAGCCAGAAAGTAGGACTTATTCTTGTCGCTTCTTTTCCTCACTTGAATCTGTAACTACAACTCAGGCCTCCCTTCTGAGTCCCAGACACACATGCCCAGCTGCCTATCTGACATGGTCAAGTGAACGGCTCAAGAACAATGTCCGAAGTGCCAATTCCAAACTTAAAGAGTAAACATCAAAGCTGTTTGAGATAAATTATCACCTCCCCCGACCCTGAAAAAATGGCACTAATACGAATGTGCTTCCTTGTAAATGAAATCAGCCTTTTGCCAGCTAACAGCTCTACACTGTAGCTCACCATTGAAACCAGGGAGAACACAGCTAATGGGACAATGGGACACTGAAGACTCACCCTGCATCCCCAGTCACAGGGATGGATACTTGTCACTTCCACTTCTCAACACCAGTAATGTCTTTAGGAATCTTTAGGTATCATTAATGTAGGCCACTAATTGGGAGATCTGCTGAAATCATTATGACTTTGACTTGATAGTCCATAAAGCAATGAACAAGGATTGCTGGAGAGCGACTGTAATCCAGCTACATTCATTTGTGGAGCCCCTTTCCTATCCTGTCAGAACTTAGCAATCTCAAGTCTTTTTCCCTCCAGCCCTAATTTGGTAGTGGATAGAGCTACCATTAGGCCTGAGAGCTAATGTGTCTCTCATCCACAAAATTCCAAAGAGAGCTGAATATGGCATTTCTTTAACTTTTCAAATTAAAAAAGAAAAGAATCTACTTCTATCCCTCTCTTTGCTTTACTTTATAAAAAGAGAGAGAAAAACAACAAAGGACCAAGCAAATTAGCTATATTTTAGAGCATGTTTGGGGCAGTTAAATCTGCTTCATTGTGCCCAGGACTGTAAAGAGAACAATCAGAACAAGATTTCCATTTAGAGCAGAAAATGGAATGGAGGATCGTGTTCTTATTTTCAATAGCTGCTGACACAATGCTGAGCCTGACTGCCATCCAATTAGGTACTCAAGGTGTGGAAGCCCTGTTAGAAGGAAATCTCTGCCTTCCCAAGGAAGCACTGCACTAGGAGAAGGAGAAGGCTCAGTAAGACCTCTAATCTCCCTTGAACTCATTGCTTTTTCAGCCTGTGTCATGCATACTATCTCAAGAGAGTGAAGTCCCCTTAACTCTGCTCAGAAGCAAATAGATTGAGGTTCCCTATGATTTAGAAGCCTGTAGTGGATACATTGGGGAGTTCTGCTGTCACTTCTCCCTAGCTCAGGTGGTTGTCACCTATTGCTAGAACTTTCTCAGTCCAACGTTCCATACTGCAGACCTCAACCTTCCTGCATTTGTGGAAAATTATGGTTCTCCCTTGTTTACTGCTACCCAACCATCCCCAATCACACTTGAAATCACTCTGAATCACATCCCACTGGAAAGAACACATCAGTTTTGGAAGCTGTGAGGCCCTTTCTATGTTCATAAGGAATGAAATAATGTAACTGTCTGCATCCTTAAGGAGCACATATAGACTTAAACCTGCCCCATCTTTTAGGAAGTGATGTACAGCCCATATGGAAAAAAATAAATTAATTTAAAACATAACAAAGTAAGAGGACTTAGGTGACTTCTTTATGTTGACTATCTTTAGAGTTTTTTCTCCTAGGATATGCATACCCTTAAAAAAGTGTATGTCCTCCATTTTAAATAATTCAATTAAAACATCACAAATAAGGCTAATCATATTGAATGCTAAGACCTGAGATTCTAACAACATACAAAGGACATATTAGATATACAGAAACCAGAGTTTGGCACCTCATGGTCTCACCAATTAGAGATGACCCTCATTATTTGTGTATTCCATATGTGCAAACTCATCTACTCCCTAAAAGTAACCCCAAAGTCAGTACTTGCGGTGCCTTTTTGGTCATTTGTGGAACTGCACAGAGAGGGGAAAATTTTGAACCACCTGCCCCATGCAGGCATCCCCAGCTGAGGTCAAACAAGTGCCTGCTCTGCCTTCTTGTCCCAGCTCTCATACAAAGACCAAAGCATGGACAACATAGGGGGCAGTGGAATGCCGTGTAGAAGCTTCAGCTGAGGCTCTGGATGCAGTGGGACAGAATCTGAATCCCAACTCTGGCACCTGTTAGTGAGGCAGCCTCAGACAAGTCACCTAACACTTCCAAACTTCAATATCTCTTTTGAAATGGAAGATTATAGACTATTAGAAGTGTGTGTGTGTGTGTGTGTGTGTGTGTGTGTGTGTGTGTGTGCGTGTGTCTTTTCTCCTAGAAGCGAAGATTCAGTACTTACTAATTCAGTGTTCACAGGGATTTTATAACTATCTCAAATAATGAGAACTGACTGCACAAAAGAGCTCATATTTGTACAGGACCTCATTGCTGCAACACTCCCTTTTCAATGCAATAAGCCCCATGGTACCACCACGAGGTGGGTGCCAAAAACAGGTAACTGTTTTACCTGTACTGAATCCATCTTAGAGAAAGTGACCGCCTCTTGTGCAGCGTTTTGCATGTGTGTAATACTGTAGGCCAGCACCTGACTGCTGACTACTGGCCCAGGGCTGCCTCCTCTGCCTGATCATCTCTGCCCTCTCCAGGGACTTCTTGTGCTACACCTGATACTATCCAAACTCCTTACAGGGGCCTACCAGGCCCTAATGCTCTGGACCTGCCTCCTTCTGTTGGCCACACCTTGCATGCCCTCCCTGCCTGGCACAGGCCCCTCCTCATGGGTCTTCACTGATCCTCTGAGCTCGCCTAGGCTTAGCCCCATCCCAAGGCTATGCCATGGTCTTCCCAGGAATGTGATCTGATGTCCTTCATAACTGGTTTCCTACTAGCCAGTCAAGTAGGCACCAGCACCTCTGCCCAACACATACACACTCTCCTCTTTTCTAATACTAATAAGGTTTTCTTCAGGAAATCGACTGCCCTCTATTCACCCCAGGCCTCCCTAACTCCATCATTAAACCTGCATCCTCCTTGCCAGTGATTGGTTTAGGGGAAAGCACGTGCTATTACTCTGGCCAGTGAGCTGTGAGAAGTCTACTATGCCTTCTGTGAAACATCTCCTTAATCAAAGAGACTCACCAGAAGCAGCCCCTTCTCCTCTGACCGGATGTTGCTGCATAGGAAATGATGACAGGAACTGCTGCAGGGACCCCAGAGCCCCGAGGGAGCCGGACGCAGGCCATGCTGACCCTGGGAGCTAAGGAACCCGGGCGCTTGATGACCTAGAGGGGCCGCTGGACCAGCCCACCTGGACCCCTGATTTTGAGGCATCTTATCAGGTGATTGTCTTTCTTGTTGGTGAAGTCATCATGGTCTACGTGGTTTTGTTATTTTCCACCAAAAGGATTATAAATGACACAGGACTGTATCTCAAATGCCACTCCTCAGAATGCGTTCCCTGAGCCATTCCTCATGTAAACTTGGCACCCATCTCTGGTCACTCTCCATCTATGTTACACTATTTTCTTGTATCTAATTCGCTGTCGTGCTACTGTGTACACTAAATTGACAAATGGCTCCATTACTTAGACCTCTTACACTGTATTAATCGCACCAGATTGCTCTGTGTGTGTGTGTGTGTGTGTGTGTGTGTGTGTGTGTGTGTGTGATTTGAGATGGAGTCTCACTCTGTTGCCCAGGCTAGAGTGCAATAGAGCAATTTCGGCTCACTGCAACCTCCACCTCCCAGGTTCGAGCGATTCTCCTACCCCAGCCTCCTGAGTAGCTGCAATTACAGGCGCCCAATAATGTGCCCAGCTAATTTTTGTATTTTTAGTAGAGACAGGGTTCACCATCTTGGCCAGGCTGGTCTCAAACTCCTGACCTCGTGATCTGCCCGTCTTGGCCTCCCAAAGTGCTGGGATTACAGGCGTGAGCCACCGCGCCGGCCAGATTGCTCTGTTATATAACGTAATTCTTCACAATAATTGGCACTCTCGTAATGCTCCCCGTTGTTTCTTATCTGTCTTCCCCACCTGAAGGTAATCTGCTTCAGAACATGGACCTTTCTCCTTTTCCCTGCTGTCTCTGCTAATAGCACGGTGCTGGGCACACAGAAGGTGTTCACTAAATAGATGCTGAGTGTGTGAATGAATATG